AGCAGCCAATAGGGCGTCTATGTATTTATTATGTGTCTATGGATTACCCCCTTGGGAGTGACGATCGGTGACGCGCTGCCAAGATGGCGATGGCCGGCCCCGCCCACTTTAGGCTTCAAAACGCTCTTCAGAAACCTACGGGTGACGTCACGGACACTACATCCATTTTTTTAACAGTCTATGGTCACAAATAATTATCTCAGGGTTTACTGGATTTTACACAATTATTTTTGTAGTTGTTGGTGGTGATGAACTAAAATAAACATGTTCACGTGTGGACCTTTTTTATTCTTCTCACCGTTTATTCCTGGTTATTATTTTACTGTCTATGGTTAAGAGGACCATTACTTGAGTTGCCCCCTGTCGTTTCACAGAATAGTACAAAGGCGAGCGCGTCGACGCCTCGTCCGTTTGGGGATGTGCGCGCGCAGTCTGCGGAGACTCGCGCTGTGGAGCCAGGCGAAAGTATAAGCAAGGCCTTAAGCATGTTTCGAAAGCCATCGTCACTTATATAATGTAAAATATATATATTAATTGTATAGCGGCGATATGATCATCAGGTATGTTCATAATTTTTCAAATGAATTTCTGTTTTCAAGTTTTGCGCTCCTCTCTTTCCACTTCATCTTTTCAGATAACCTAGAGTTTGGCATACCAGTAGGTATCTCTGTGTGTGTACGCCAATGTGAATGTATTGAAGGGTGTTTTATTTTTGTACTACCGCTGCCTTAAAGGTTGTATCAGTGATTTCTGGCCCAAAAATAAATGTCTAATCTTTCCTAACGATCCGCTAGCTGCTCGCCCCATAAGCATGCCGTCCAAAAACCGCGTCTCTGTAGGCAGCCTAGGCTCTGAGATCTGCACACAAAAACAAATGTGTACAACCACCACTCAAAACCAAAATAAAGTGTTCCAACCAATCACTGACAGGGGCGGGTGTTGTGAGGTTTTGCGCTCGTGCACGGCTGGACGCGAAATCGGAGCAACACCCGCCTATGAGACACAATGACAGTGAGACGGTCTATGATTTAATTAAAGGTAAAGTTTCAGTTACACGCCAAAACCCTCGGTACCAGAGCAGAGCTCCAACTTTTCCAGAAGAGTATCGGAGTGGAAACTTTTCCCTCAAACTCATCAATCTCACTCACACTGATGCTGGAGCATTCAGCTGCATCATCACACACTCATCTGACCCGATTTGGCCATCTGAGACAAATTTAGCAAATCCTAAAAGATTCCTCTGATCCTAGGCTAAAATCTGAAGTCTTTAGCCGCGTTTCCACCGCAGGAACTTTACCCAGGAACTAGGAACTTTGGCCTGGTACTCGGTGTGTTTACACCGCAGGAACCAGGGTCTAAATGAAGTTCCGGGTAGATATTTCCCCCTCCGAAAGTCCCTGCTCGCGAGGTAGTACTTTTTCAAAGTTCAGGAACTTTCGCGGGTGGGGCTTGTGCGCTGAACATGCTGATTGGTTGTGTTCACGCCGCATTATGATTGGATAACTCCGCGCAGCATTTTATTTTAACCGGAATTTTTAGAATCTATTGCAGTTCGTGGCTTCATGCAGTAATGAAGTTCCATGCAGTAAGAGTTGTCTGTCTGCAAATATGGAATTTAATAAAAATAAAAAAGACAGCTGGACCGACGACGAGATTCAGGCTTTATTAAGCGTATTTGCGGAAGAGAAATTTTCTGCGCGTTCGTCCCAGCCTTCTCACGGTCAATGTCCGCAATAGCTGATAACATACGCTGTCTAATTTTAGATCTAACGTTAGCATTACGAGCTTTCTGAACACGCTTTAGTATCAGTGCTCGTCTCTTTTCTGCCGTTTTGTTAATTACCTGGTTAGTAAACCAATACATCTCAAACAACTGCAGCACAGTGTGAATCTCTTCCATATTTATTATAAATGTGGCGCTCAAAACTGATTACTGTCTTTTACAGTCTACTGTCCGTCACAAGCAAGCAATGAGCAGTCGGGCGCAGTTTACCCGGTACTTTAGACCGCGATGTAAACGCAGAAAGCTACCGGTCTGGGGCAAAAAAAGTTCCTGGGAAAAAAGTTCCTGGGACAAATTGTTCCGGGCAATTGCGGTGGAAACGCGGCTTTTGATCGTTAGTTTGACATGTTCACTGACAGCCAATAATGACCGTTGTAATCAAATTTTACCACCGACGAAATTCTGGCAGTGTCAGAAGATTTGGCTCACAGTCCTGCAGTGTGACTTCTGCTACGACTGTCAAATTGTCTTCGTTTTTCAAGACAAGCCATGACCAAAATTAATGTTTAGATTTCTTTGTAGCCACCATTTTAATTCCATGTGTCACTGTCACTGTCATTAATTAATGATGTAAAACTCCGGACAAGTTTTCTTGCGTGCGTCCGTTTTTAACGCGTCTTGACTGTTGTGCAGTCTGACATTAATGACAACTGAGATCTTCAGTGTGACATGGCTTACAGCGATGATCATGTTCGTACAGTCTGACAAGCAACAATCGTACAGTAGATGAATATTATAAATCGCACAGTGTGCATCCGGATTTAGTTACATTTGCAATCTTCCTGCTTTTTTTTCCGTTTGCCTGTGTTCTCATTCGTCTCCTAGGTTACTCATTTTAATCTTGTTGGTTACTATGGTTACTCATCAGTTCCCGTTCCTGTGTTTATCCAATCATCTTTGTTTGCACTTAGTGTATATTTCCCTGTGTTTCTGTTCCACTTTCGGCTCTCATTAATGTTTTTGAGTATAGATATGGTAAATTCTTATTGCATTCATCCTCTTCGTCTGCCGTATACCTACACGTGACACTGTTTGCAAGTGGACAGCGTTTTGGACAAGTGGACAAGTCCCCCACTCATTATACAGATTGTAGTACACTCCATTCAGCAAGATTGCTCGTAATTCAACTGTCAGCAGTGGCTTGAACGGAGGCTGCCAGAGCCTTTAAGACCATATAAATGGTATTTATCGGAGAAAGGAGTTTCCCCATAGCGACAGCTGATGCAAAGTTGATTGAACCCAACTCAAAAGAAAACTCATGAATATTTATGCATGACCCACTCACAGAAACTGATAATCTCAGAAACTGAAAATCTTTGAAAATGTTTGATGGAACATTGTACATTGGAACACTGGAACATCGTGACATTGGTGCTTGCAAAAAAACTTGCTTGGGGAACTAGTAGCTGTGTGTTTGTGTGACCCTTTTATCTTTTGCTTTAAACTACATGTTTCCCTTGCCAAAGTTATCCAAATAAAGGAAAATAAACTATTAACTTAAAATGGGGGGGGGATGGGTCTACGTCTTTATATGTAAAAAAAAGTTTTTCGCAATTAAATAAAGTTGGCAAAAAGAAAATTGAAGCATGTAAGGAGCTAATTATTTTTATTTTTATTTAAATTTTTGCTTTATAGTTTACGTTACTTTTTACCGTGGCATGAAATTACAAAAAAAATAGTTAAAACTCCTGTGAGGGTGTTTTAAACAAGGAGCAAAAATACTTTTTATTTAATCAGAAGACACGTACGTACTAGCCTACTTTTGAAAGGGTGTCTATGGAAAAACATGCTTTTTGCAGTCGGGTGGTGTAGTTCCAGGATCTACCAACAGGGACTAACTAACAGGAACCTACTAACCAGCTAACCACCAGCGGTTGAGAGAGTGCTGGTAAATTTTAAAATCTGCCTATCCATCTCTGATCTCTCTATATATTTTTTCCTCTTTTTGTACATAGGGAAAACTTAATCGCGATATATTAATTGTTTGCTGTTGGAGTAAAAAAAAAAAAAAAGGATAAAAATAATATTTACTGCAGAACATTTCTATGACAACTTCCGCTCAGAGTTCCGAGAGAACCCGGAAACCTGGAAAATGTTCAGAGCTCGATACTTTTTGTTTTCTGTCAAATTTATTTAGAAATATAATGTATAACATAATTGAGTTATATCGGAGCACCCTGATCATCGGGTAACGTTATTTTTATGATTTTTAATGAAATTATGTTTTCACAAAACGAGCTGTAACGTTACCTCCCATACATTTCACTTTAGATCTGCCGCGATATTTTACGTGCCTTTAGCATTAGCATCTTGTATTTCCTTTGTGTCTCGGTGCATGCAGTTACATTTATTTGATTGGCTTGTTTTACAGTGCATTCAAGATATTACGTTTTTTTCTCTTTTTTTTTTTAACCAGAGTAAGATAAAGTTCTTTTTTTTACAAGAACACCTAGTTACTGCTAAATCATATTTAGAGTTTAGCATCTAACTTACAGGGAAATTATGCAACATCCAGTTTATTATTAAGGGAAATAGATGAAAACAGTTGTTAATTTATGATTTAGTGACAATTTGCAAATTAGTTAATCCAGTTATTCTGAATCCCATTTAATGTTTATATATACATATTTTTAATGTTAGAGGAAGATTTTTTAAATAACTCCACAAATCATAATAATTATGGGGGGCATGTTACCCCAATGATTTTACTTTAACTTTCTACATCACAATGTAATAATTATGTCAAGATTTAGTGATGTGAATGCAGTATTTTGTTACTTTAAAATAGGAGTGTAATTTCTGTGACAGTTTGTCCACACTGAATGTGAAATACAACAATTATTTCTTAAAAAGGCATTAGAAAGTCTCAAACTTTAGCATTCAGCCCATTTGAAATTCCAAACACTTTACCTTGCATGGAGACGAGCAGGCAAATTAGAGTTAAAAGACTTACATGTTTGACAACCAAACCTCAGTATTATTCTAGGCCGATATGCTTTAAGTTTTATCAGCAGCAAATCACTTCCTATCATGCTTTTAGTTTGTGCAGCTGGTAAACAGACACTTCGCCTGCTTGAGTCTTGCGAGAGTGTTTACATCACAGCAAGTCAGAGAGCTTTTCTAACCGGCGTGATCAGTTCTACTCTGATCATCACAAACAAGCCTGTTGACAATGTCATGATGTACTGGTTGAGATGAAAGAAATTAAAGTAACTTGTTTTTTCTGTTTCTTTTCAGTTGTCGCTTCATCTTTGTGTTTGCAGTGCTGATTAACAAAGGTTGGCATCTAAACTTTGAATTTGAATGATAAATTCATGCTACATGTATAAATGTCAGACTGTGTTGTGTTTACAGTTAATGGGTCTGTCATTTCAGTGTCTCTGCAGGAAACAGTACATAGAGAGGGTGTTACTGGCGGTTCTGTTCTCCTGCCGTGTTCTTCCAGTGAACATGTTCATAAAATTCAACACATCGATGTAAGCTGGAGACACAATGACAGCGAGATTGTGTATGATATAGTCAAGGGTGAAGATTCAGTGGTAGAACAGGACCCTCGGTACAAGAATAGAGTTGAAACTTTTCCATTGGAGTATGAGAGAGGAAACTTCTCCATCAAACTCAACAATCTCAATTACACTGATACAGGAGAGTTCAACTGCCTCATCACACCCTCAAACGAACAGAAGAATGTAGTACTGATCATCAAGGGTGCGTGAAACTGCTTAATTAATATATACTCCCGGTTTCACAGACAAGGGTTAAGTCTAGTCTCAGACTAAAATGCATGTTTGAGCTGTTTTAATTGAAAGCAACTTGCACTTGCATATCTTAAAATTAGGGGTGTAAAGATACACGTATTCGTATTGAACCGTTCGGTACGAGGCTTTCGGTTCGGTTTTCGGTACGCATTTTTGAACCGAACGGTTCATTGGACCATTTTTCCTGCTGACCAAAATTTCGTTATTTCAAATGTAGGCGCGTCACGCGTGGCAAGCGCGCTCATAATGTAAGAGTCGCTGGCGTGACCACAACAGTGCCCAACATCAAATGGCAAATGTAATGTAAGCGGAACGAAACTGAGCGACTCGTTATTGTGTGGTTGACGGGCCGTTTATCAGACCAATGCAGCGTGAGCCAATCTTAATCATCAGCACTGTTACTACACAGCGAAATCCAGTGAAGAAAGCATTTGAATTCGTCAGTGAAGTAATAACATCGCTGCGAGATCTAGTGAGAAGCATTCACATTTCTCCGTTATTAACAGATCAAACAGCGCTGACGTGGAAACCAGGAAGAAACATTGTGGCATGAATGAACTATCCAGTGTCCACAGATCAGCAACATTCACCATGGGTTTACTGTAGTAACACTACTAACTGTAACCATGGACGTTTGGCAGGAATAGTAGGCTATAATGCTTTCAAGTAACATTATGTCGGTTTTATTTTGACATTATTGCTGCCCTCAAATGTTAATCTGAACTAAAATAAACCTTTGTTTATAACTACTACAATATTACATTTCATTTTGTCCAAGGAGCTGTTTTGTTTTATAAGCTCCTAAGAAAAGTCAAGTATAGCTCCATCATTGCTGAAAGTTAAAAAAAAATCATACTTTATGATGTTAGTTTTAATAAAAATATATTTAAAAAAATTAAATCAAGGAAATTTCTCTGGCATTTCTTTCTTTTTGCTGTATCGAAAAAGTACCGAAACGTACCGAACCGTGACATAAGTGTATCGTATCGAACTGAACCGTGAATTTTGTGAACCGTTACAACCCTACTTAAAATATATCAAAGCCATTATTTTTTTCTCAAGATTCACACCAGTAATGTTTTTTCTATGGCACGTTTATAAAAGCCACTTAAATGCCCTAATTGAACGAAGGCCTAATCCTGGGTTAATCTAAGCCCTGTCTGTAAAACCTACGGAGCCCCTAAAGGGACGTGGTGGTGGAAAAATTTTTAGGAAGGGAGAATTTTTTTTTTTTTTCAAATCTTTTGCGTTCCCCCGAGAAACTTTTGCGTTCCCACGCAAAACCTGTTGGCAGCTCGGACAGACACTTCCTGTTTAATGTCCCGCTGGCAGTGTTTCAGAGCTCCGTACGTTAATGGAGCGTTTCATAGTGTTTGAACTTGGACTCTAATATAAAGAAATGCGGTCAGTGCTTAACTCAAGGTGTTCAGTGAAGATATATTCACATGCTATTCGAACTTCCCGAATCAATATTCTTGAGCTAAACGTTGTTAAAACACAGACGACACCTATTTACAATCACAGTAACCTAGAAAACGAGCTACAACCCAATTCTCCTCAAAACGAGCTTTATAATATAAATGTCTTTAACCGGCCGATTGAGAGACAAGTCCGAATAAGGGACCGTCTGCAAAGTGCAAATCCCAAAACCCTTCTGCACATTTTATATTATTTAACATATTCAATAGCATCACTGTGATACACTGTAGGCTACTGTCACCAAATTCAGTTCCAATAACTTTACCCTTTTTAGAAAAAATATTCAGTAACTTCACACTGTTATACAGTGTAATGCCATCAAATTCAGTAAGCAAATATAATGCAAAAGCTATGGTTGTAACTATTATGTTAGCTGCGTACAGTACCAATATAATTTGTGTAAAGAATAGGCATACTTATTTTTTTATGTGCAATTACTTCCCAAACTAAGTGTTGTATAACCAACATTAGAGCAGTGATGTGTGAACTAAATTTGGTTGGTTACAGTGAAGTTATTAAATATTTTTTTTATATAATATAAAATGTGCAGAAGCAGTGCAGTATGACCAGTGAGTTTACCATTGATGTGTAAACTGAATTGGGTGGTTTGTAACATTGAAGTTAATGACTATTTTTATATTTTTGATTATGAGTTGATGCTGTAGTCGTTTTTTTTGGGTTATATTGCACTTTGCAGATGGTCCCTTCGGACTCAGCCGCCTGCCTGCTCATAGAGATCCATTTAGCCTATATTATAAAGCTCGTTTTGAGGAGAATTGGGTTGTAGCTCGTTGTCTAGGTTACTGTGATTGTAAATAGGTGTCGTTTGTGTTTTAACAACGTTTAGCTCAAGAATATTGATCCGAGAAGTTCGAATAGCATGTGAATATATTGCCAACTTCACTGAACACCTTGAGTTAAGCACTGACCGCATTTCTTTATATTAGAGTCCAAGTTCAAACACTATGAAACGCTCCATTAACGTACGGAGCTCTGAAACACTGCCAGCGGGACATTAAACAGGAAGTGTCTGTCCGAGCTGCCAACAGGTTTTGCGTGGGAACGCAAATATCTTTGCGAGGGAATGCAAAAGATTTAAAAAAAAAAAAAAAAATATCTCCCACCCTAAAAATTTTTCCACCACCACGTCCCTTTAGGGGCTCCGTAAAAACCAAACCATATAGTTTTTAATTAAGAAAGTTAACTGGTGATGTTCCAGTCCGAATGCTGCTTTACATAAATTACAGAAAGATATGTTGTCTTTATACCTGTGCAGTAATTTTTTTTCTCTCTGAACTTTGGTTCCATAATCAACAGCAGGAGAAGAAAACACATCTAAACATGCAAACCCAGGACTGGACCAGACGAGGATCATTTCCATATGTGTTGGCACTCTCTTAACTGTAATTATTTTTGTTATTTTGTATTTTGCCTATGTAATTCACCGGAGAAAAAGATCTGCCTTATAGACCATTTGGGAGCAGACATCACAGTGTCAGAAAAAGTTGGTCTCAGTTTTTGTAGAATACTGTAATTGAAGATGATCTTTGAAGCTAAATGCAGACTGTTGCATTAAACAGACAGACTGAACTGATGAAACCTGCGATTACCCCACTACTAAAGCTTGAATTATGTAAACAATGTTCATGCAGTTCATAGGGGACATTGCGTGTTAGCCCTACAGTTACAGCATTAAATAATATTTAAGCCTATAACAATTTTATCTAAAAAAAATCTGACTCTTTTCTTGGAATTGTGAGTTTATATTTAACAATTCAGACTTTATAACTTGCAATTTCAAATTTATATCACAATTCTGAGGAGAAAATTGTGGGATATGAACTTAAAAGGAAAAAAGAGAGAATGTCGAATTTAAATTAAAAAATTACGTTTCTTTCCAGAATTGTGAGATATAAACTACAAATACATTATTTATTTATTTTTTACTCTTATTCCATGGCTTTTAACAGAATTTGTACAGCTTTCATTGTTCATTTCTGTTAGAAATACTAACTTCGGGTTAGTTCACCCGAAATGAAAATTCTGTCATTAATTACTCACCCTCATGTCATTCCGAACCCATACGTTTTAACTTTTTTTTTTTATCTCTGGGACTCAAATGAAGATATTTTTTAATGAAATCTGAACGATTTCTGTTCAATTGACAGTCTGCAACTACTACTTTGATGCTTCAAAAAGTTCATAAAGAGATTGTAAAACGAATCCATATAAATCGAGCGGTTTAGTCCACATTTTCTGAAGAAACATGATTGCTTTTAGTCTTTTATTTACTTATTAACATAGTAAACAGAAGCTCAATTGGCTCGTGAGGAAGCTCAAACATGCTGCGTAACACAAGAATGAACCTCATTGGTTCTCGCACATCAAGCGAACATGCGTGAGCTTCCGTTTACTACAACTGGGATCCATTCTTCGTACCTTGCTCATGATAACTGATTCCTGTTTAATTTAGTTTTTCGAACGAATTTGTGGATTTGGTTAAAATATCGGGATTAAGTTGAAAATTAAGTTAATTGGAAAGGGCAGATTTATTGATACTCGAAAACATAATCAGCAATGCAGCGCATTACATTATAGTTAAAAAGAACTTCACACACCTGGCGAAAAACTTGTATTTCTGGACCTTTGTAAGGAAACCAAAACGACATAAAAGTTATAATCGATAAATTAAAAGTGGTTGTTTGCTAAAAATATTTTTTGAATTTTTAATTGTTTTAATTAATGCTTTAGCAGATACAGGCTTTAACAGTTCTGCCCTACAAAGGCAAAATACCTTAACTCGCTAGAGTGTGGAACTGAGAAAAATGACTTTAAAGATTTTTAGTTGTCCCGCCAAATTAATTATAGGTAGGACACTGAAAATCTGGCAATTAGATGTTTAAGTAATGAAAATTATCTACATAACAAAAATTTTAGCTCAAACTTGACTTTTGACCTCTATTTTAAAGTTACTGTACTCTGCTTTTGTATTGTTAGCAAAAAGTGAGAAGTCATGCTAAGGCAAAAGGCAGTAACTTCCACATTATCAATATTTGATTGCTGATCACCATTAACAAAATCATTATAGAAGACCTGTATAAAATCTAGTGATCATGGCATTTATTTTGAATGATTTAAAAATTACCTAGCCTTCTAGTTATTGTGCTTTTGTTGCATTCTGGTGGCCCTATTAATACATTGGACATGACAAAATACCTCCATAGCTGTAAAGACTAAAGAGTATCTTCAAGTGGTACCGAGTGGCATAAGACTTGCTAAACACGCGTTATAATGTAATGTAATAATCACGATAAAACAGATCCTCGCGCACATTCGACCCGGAGACTGTTTATAGCGGTGCGTGGATCTGAAAGACGAATACTTCAGGCGTTTACCGAGATTCGTGTTCGAAGGTGTCACGATCCGTTCACGAAAAGTAGCCTATGCAGTGCTTTACCCCTTAAGGACTCAGTAGGGAGCGCGTTCTGGACTACTTAGACGACTAATGCATTTATAGCACAACCTTCTGTGTTCTACGTCTTTTCAGTATGCGTTGGTTTCAGCTGTCTGCCCTATTATTGTGCGTGCACTTCGCTCGTCCCGCGGATTTATTCTGGACGCTGTGTTTTGTATGCATGCTTTACCACAGCTGTTCTGATGTTGTATGCACCAGCACTTCTTGCTTCATTATGATGTATGCGCCTTGTTGCTTCATTATTATCACTCTGTGATATTTTAGTCCCGCGTCGGCTCGACCGTGTTCAGGGCGGAGCTGAAGGCGCCGGCGAAGTTTTGGCACTCTGCCAGCTAGATGCATGATTGTTTCAACTAGGTCCGGTACCCGAACTGGGTGAGGCGGGGCTTTAGTTCTTTGTTGTATTGACCTGCTAAGGCGTCGGCATGTGTAACATTTTTCTGTCAACTCTGCACTGCATATATCCTTCGATCGCGATCGATATCGCACGTTTGTCGATGGAGCGGGTTAAGAGCATACTAAATGTTCTGACCGCATTAGTGCAGGACAAAGCTCTGAGGACATCAGAAGTTACAGGGACGGATGGTAGCTGTACACAGGCTACATCGTAATTTCATTTTTAATGGAGAGTAAAACAAAGGCAGAACATTGTATAATCTGATAGGTAGCATTATTTGATAGAACGCCTGCACAGTAACTTCATATTGATGCGCCGGCTAAACAAAGGCAGAGTGCTGTAACTCAATATGAGCGTTCCAAAACTAAGCCAAAGAGCGGTAACTGGTGTTACGGTGTCCTTGGTTTCTCATGGGCTTTTGGAAGTTACGGTTAAGACAAACCATTATTATCTCGAAAAAACCCCGGAATTGACTCAAGATACTTATCCACATGATAAAGGAGGTCTTGAATGTGCCAAAAATATCAATAACACATTTTCGACCAAAAACGAAGTTACGGTCTTTTGCCTTTGCACGGCAGAGTTCGTGACCCGAGAGCCTATCGTGATCTGCAGCTACTCAGGACTAAGAATATGGGATAAGTGACATTAAGCATCAAGAAATTGCAGTTTTTTTTTGCTAAGGAGATGTTGGTTTAGTCTCTTCTTGAAGGCCTGAACATTGTTTGAGGTGATTTCACCTACTACAGTACAGGGGAGGCAGTTCCAAGTTGTTACAGCCGAATGAAGAAAGCTCCTCCCCAAGCATTTGGTGTTAGACTTGGGGAGTTTTAGGGCGTGTGTTGGTCGTGCTCTTCGAGAGGTTCGATAAAGGAGATCAGGTGGGGGTAGCAGAGCTTTGAGATCCTCTGGACAGTTTTAAGTGTGCATTTTAAAAAGCACAGTTGTTGCTGCAACAGTTCTACGATGGCTGAGCGCATATTTCCCTAGGGCAGTGTCCTCATCCTCCCCAATGATTTTCAGTGCCTTTTTCTGGATGGTGTCAAGCTGCCCAAGGGTGGTCTGCGATGCGTTCATCCAGGCAAAGCATGAGTACTCCATGGTACTCCTGACTTGTGTCTTGTAGACATTGGCCCTACCTTTGACATCAAGCTTGTTGGCCACCCTGCGCAGAGCTCCAAGACACTGTCCAGCACGCTTGCCGATGTTTGACAGGTGTTTAGTCCATAGTAAACAGATTCCCAATTATTTACATTATTTCACATTTTCTAGTATTTGTACCGACTTTACATTTTCATTATTGTAATTAGCAAATTGTTTAATTTACCTGTGAAGCAGATTTACGTGACCGCATTAATTACTTTTTTAAGGGTCAAGAAAATGTTTCTGCTGGCACAGGAGACAGATTTTTTTTTTTTTTACACAAAGTTATCTACAGCGCTGCATCAAGCCACTCTCATAATAGCTGTTAAAATTCATGCACGGCTTAAGCCTGGAACACACCAAGCCGACGGTCGGCCGCCGGGCAGTTTTTGTGCGTCGGCCGACTGAGTTTCCTCGGTGTGTTCCGCACGGTTCCGTGCCGTCGGCTGAAATTGGTCCTCGTCGGCTTTGTTTCGGCCGATTCGACATGTTGAATCGGCGTCGGGCCGTCTGTGAAAGAGGGAACTCTGATTGGCTGCTCAGCTTAGTGAAAGAGTCAATGAACGAGAATAATAGCAAAACAGCGAGCAAAGAAGTCAAAACTCTACAGATAGAAGGCTGTTCTTATGTTACGTCATCTTACCTGAGTGTTCCTTGGCGAATATTTCAATAGTAACACGAGCGGAGTGGAATAAAGAAAGTGTTTAGCAGGATTGATAAAACGGTAAGCACGCACTGCTTTGTTTAAGGTATGTGTATCTGCAGCCGGCAGTGTCGGTTTCCCTTTTTGAATGACGAATATAGACGAATATATCTGCAGAAATAGACAGTTGTCTCATTTACACGCAGGAGCAGAACGCGCATTCTAGCTGACTGTCGGCTGTAGTTCTCTCGGTGTGTTCAAGTGCAGCTTTTTACCCCGACGAGAGTCGACAACACAGTCGGCTTTCATCAGCGCTAGTTCGTTGGCTTGGTGTGTTCCAGGCTTTAGACTAACTAACTGTAACTGTGTGTAAAGCCCGGGGCACACCAAGCCGATGATCGGGTGTTGGGCCGTTTTTGAGTGTCGTCTGACTGTTTGCTCTAGTCGGACGACGGCAGGGTTTTTTTTGGGGCCGATACAGCATGTAGAATAGTTTTGTCCCGTCGGTGAGAGAGAGAACTCTGATTGGCTGTTCAGCTTAGTGAATGAGTCAGTGCACGAGAATAATAGCATAACAGCAAGCAAAGAAAGTCAAAATGGTACAGATAGAACGCTACTAATTTTACGTCATCTAACCGAGTGTTCCTGGGCGAGTATTTTAAAGCCCCCAATATAGTCAATAATTTTATCATTTAAAGGCACAATATTTCAGATTTTTGTATTCAAATATCCAAAACCCACTAGAACAGTGTTATATATTTTGTTGACTTGTGTACTTACATTATCCCAAATGTTTGTAAGAATGTTTAAATACAGAGAAATAAGCAATTTTCAACCAGGACCGTGTCATTGTGTCGCCTATTAGTGACGCGTTACCCTCGATTTTCGATTTTTATTTTGTAGAAATCATGGAAACACCAAAGGCGCTTTAATATATTAAATGTTTTATTAGACAAGGGAACAACTGTTTTGGATACATTTATAGAAAGAAAAGTAATCATTGTCATATACCTCAACACTGTTAGTCTGATTGTTTGAATCGTTGTTTTCTTGACTTTCCACGAGTACCATGTTTTTACCATGCCTCAGAGAAAAACACTATTTTGTCAAGTGGCTAAC